AGAAAATATTATATTTGTATAGGCAACGAAAAAACTAAGGGTTTATGATTTTCTTCTAAAATATCTGAGAGATACAGATTTGATTAGAAGAATTTAGTTTTTTTTAAGTACCGGTAGTATATAATATATTCGTTCATCGAGGCCTCACACTCCATCCCAGTAGGTGGCGGAAATGCACCTTAAGCTGGTTTGCCAACCGCCATTAAACACAAAAGAAGAAGAATCTGGCTTTGCGGCTGGTAACCTTCGACTTCCGCTCCAGTGAAAACAAGCCGATCAGCTGATCTGACCTGGCAACAACATTCACCCGAATCTACCGGGGAGGGGAATCATTTTACAAGCTGGTGGGGAAAAACAGTTATCTTGACATCAACCGGCTTATTAATTTGTGTGTTTATCAAAGGGTCGTTGTCGTGTGCGAGGTTTCAGGGAATTCAGCAGCTTGTTTGATGAAAATTGCGGTGTGATTCTGGCTCGAAATAAGCTTGTTTTGTTCGGTCAAAGCTGGGTTGATCAATGTGTTGTTGGGTGAACATACTTTAAGGACAGTCTGTACGATACTAAACAATTATTAATTCCGCTGCATTAGTCAGATTTCTAACCCCCTAGTATTTTTAGTCTTTGAAATTGAAGGTGTTTTACAGACACGTACGCTAAGCTTAGCTAGCCCGAGTAACAAAGCCCAGGACGGTAACAACACCCGAATGTAGCTGTTCTTAGTGTTTACATCTGCCAATAAATATATGTCGATTTTTGTTGCTTGTAGTTCGTAAGTTTAGACACTTTAGACTGCATGATCACTTTAAAATCAACCAGAAAGCTAGACAAGTCTGACCTAGTGCCAGTGCTATACGGATGTCAACTGATCTAATTATAGTTCATATTGAATATTTGATTTTAAGCCAGTGTCATAATTTGACACACCACATTTCGAATTCCAATGAAATTCAAGGCAAGCGAGTAAGATATTTTGTTTAAGACCTCAAATGCATCATATTTGAGGCATTATATCTCATCTCTCTTGTTGATTGTACATTTAGGTTGGTCTCTGCTGTAGTTGGTGCAACTTTGAGGAATATCTAGTTAGTATATTTACTGAGGGATTTTAGTACTTCAAATTCGGTCGCTTCCGTTCGGTTCGCTACCTCGCGGTTATATTTAGACGTATAATGAGCTGTCAGGGCTCGTCGGTGGAGAAGGGGGTGAACGGCGTCCTGGTTTGTCAGGAGAGTTATGCCTGCGGTGGCTCCGACGAGGCCGCCTTCGAGTGCGACGAATGCGGCAGCCTGCAGTGCGTCCGCTGCGAGCTGGAGCTCCACCGTCAGGAGCGCATGAGGAACCACGACAGGATCCTAATCTCACCTGGACACGTACCCTACTGCGATTCATGTAAAGGGGACGGGGGCGTTCCGAACGGGGGTCGCCTGAGAGCAGTGGTCCGCTGTCAGGGATGTAAAATCAACCTGTGTTTGGACTGTCAGAAGCGGACTCACAGCGGGGTCAGTAAAAGAAAGCACCCTCTCACCGTCTACCCTCCTTCGAAACCCGCGGAGAAGAACTGCAGCACTGGAGATGAACAGCTGGATGCGTTGAAAGCTAAACTGGAGCAAGTCGCCAGCTTTCTTCTAGTGGATGAAAAGGAAGATATGCAAGTACGTCAGCTTGTGTAACTTTTAAACTTTCTCCCGTTTTATACAACAGTTAGTTCTGGTCCTCAAATTTGATTGGCTGAGTGGCGTTAAACGGGTTCTCATTATGAAGCTAATTGAATAAAGCTAGACCCTCTTTTTTGGAAAATCGGAAATGGATCTCGCGAATGGAAATGGATTTGTGTGCTTGAAGTCGTAATTACTGAAATAAATGAACTTTTCCACGACATTCTAATTTATTGAGATGCACCTGTATATTTTATTTGAAAATAGATAATGACACGATTGCTTTTTCGATTTTCCAAATTTGGAATTTTCTCAACTAGTCAGGCGGAGTGGAAAGTGAAAAACATGGAGTGGCTTTGGAGTGGAATGATCACAGAACGACTTGAGCTGGAGGGGAACTTACTGTCGCTCCGCTCCACTCAATTATGTTGTTCCAGACCAGCTTTTAGCCTGTACATTGCATTGTGACAGGCAAAGCGCGATACTTTTCTTACTTTAGAACTACTTATTGGAAGAAAATTGCAAATTACCAAATTTTGTCTCAGAATTAAGTTTGAGCATACAATTTTGATTTTATGCAAAATAAACATAATAATAATAATAATAATAATAATAATAATAATAAAAACCCGATACAAGGAAAATGTGTGATATTGAGTGAGGTGAAATGTAACACATTATTAAGCAACATGTTCATTTCCACAACCTGAACAGGTGAAGGATGAGGAGTTCGTGAGGAAATTAGCCTGCAGGCCCGAGGAGCTCTTGAAGGTGGTGTCCATTTTCGGCAACACTGGAGAAGGCAAATCCCACACCCTCAATCACACTTTCTTTTTGGGTCGTGAAGTTTTCAAGACATCTCCAACCCAGGAATCCTGCACTGTTGGGGTGTGGGCAGCACTGGACCCTGTCCATAGGGTGGTGGTTGTTGACACAGAGGGTCTCCTGGGGGCAGGAACTAACCAAGGACAGCGAACCCGCCTCCTTCTGAAGGTGCTTGCGGTCTCTGATCTGGTCATCTATCGGACACATGCTGACCGGCTACATGATGATCTTTTCAAGTTTCTTGGAGATGCATCAGATGCGTATCTAAAACATTTCACGAAGGAGCTGAAAGCCACAACTGCACGCTGTGGTTTGGATGTGCCCCTTTCGACTTTGGGTCCTGCTGTTATAATCTTCCATGAGACAGTCCACACCAAGTTATTAGGCTCAGGTCAGTTTTGGATGTTTTCTACTTTGCTGTCCTTCTTACCCAACAATAATAAGTTAGGAATGACACTGAAAGATAAGGTAAGCAAAATAATAAAAGCATAATACCTCTCTTTTGCACACACTGTAGACAAGCCATCAGAATCGGCCGAGCGGCTTCTTCAGGAACGTTTCAGAAAGCTTGGCCTCTTTCCGGAAGCATTCAGCTCTATTCAGTACCGGGGAACTCGAACCCACAACCCCCCGACTGACTTCAGCGGTCTGCTGCGCAGCGTGGAGCAGCAGTTAGACAACAACACTACACGATCTCCACGGTCTGCCAGTGTCATCTATAAAGCCTTGCAGGTAAAAAAATTTTCGTTGATAATCTCAATAACACTTTTAGCTCATCAATGACATGAAAGGGTGGAAGAGTTGGTTTGAAATGTTCTCAACAACTTTTCTCTAAAAACATTCCTTTTTTATCTGCTGAAGTGGCCGGTTTTTGTCACATGACTATTTACAAATCTTAAGCTCTGGCCATGACATATTCCAAAGGACATTTGTGCTATTTCTAGTTATCAGTTGTAATGTACAGTAGTTTGTGTGGCTGATCAAGCTCTTGTTCTCCAGGCTTTGAGTGAGTGCTTCAGTGGAGAGATTCCTGATGAGAATCTGGCAAGCAACTCTTTTTTTCCAGATGAATACTTTACCTGCTCCAGCATCTGCCTCAGCTGTGGGTAAGTCTACACATCTCAGGAATCACTCCACTACTGATTTCAAATCTGTTTCACATTTTTAAAGCAACACTCACTTAGAAGAACATACTCTCTGCTGTTCAAGAGTTCGGGGTGTATGAATTTAAAAAAAAATGTTTTTGTAAGTAGCCTCTTAAAATAATGTGTTTTTCGAACAACCTAGTATGAGAGTAGGGCTGCACAATAAATCGCATGCGATTTATCGTGCAGCCCTATATGAGAGCCTGCTCTAGTACACCCCCAAAACAAAATCAATACTTTGTAAAAGAGCATAATAGGACCCCTTTAAGTACGCCAAAGTTGTTTTTATTTAATGAAAAAAAAAAAAACGGTAATATTGTGAAATATGATTACAATTTAAAATGACTGTTTTTTTATTGTAGTATATTTTAAAATGTAATTTATTTCTGTGATGGCAAAGCTAAATCTTCAGCAGCCATTACTCCAACTTTCACTTTTGATCAATTTAATGCATCCTTGCTGAATAAAAGTATTAATTTCTTTAAAAATATATCTTACTGACCCCAGACTTTTAATCAGTAGTTTTTGTTAAATAACAGTGTCATTTTAGCAATTTGGTTCAAAGAATCATATGGATTCTGTGACTGTTTTTATGGAATCTTTATGCTGATTTTGAGGGGGGGAAAAAATCAATGAAATATGGTAATAAGATTGATTTAATTAGCCAAAGAACATTAGAGCCTTCTATGTTAAAACTTTGAATTTAAATTCTGCATTTCCAAATTCCATGTGGGCCTATTCTCTTCAAATGATCGTTCAAAAAAAAAAAAAAAATGGTCCCTGATCAACATTTAAGCATGTAAAACAAATATTTTAACTCCCAAAGAAAGTTCTATTTTTACAATTGAGTAATTTACATGCACTGAGAACTGGTTTGGTAGAATCATTTAAAAGAACCAGTTCAAAGGAGTTATTTGTATGGCTCCACTAAGGTGGCTAAACTAGTAATTAGACGTTTGACGATACTAGTTTTGACTCTTGTAATGCAGGTGGAAAATTCCTTGCATTTACACCCTCCTAAAGCCTGTCCTGAATTACATTTTTAAACAAATGTAATTCTAATACTTTGTGGTGTTTTTGTTTTAGCTCAGGCTGTAAAAACAGCATGAATCACCTACGAGAGGGTGTGGCGCATGAGGCCAAACACCGCTGTCGCTATTCAGTCCACTATGATAATCGCATCTATACCTGCAAGGTAAGACATAAACAATGAAACACATGACCTGACCCTGACACATGCTCTGTGACTGCCCAGGTCTGACATTATGTGTGTAAACCTGCTATTCCAGGCTTGTTATGAGAGTGGCAAAGAGGTGATTGTGGTTCCAAAGACGACGGCATCCTCTGACTCACCATGGTTTGGCTTGGCCATATACGCCTGGTCCGGGTGAGTCGTGTTATTGAATTATATTCGTAAATGGTTCATTTAGTTCAGTTCATTTAGATGTACAGGACTTAGTTGGGCTTTTTCCTTTGCAGATATGTGATCGAGTGTCCAAACTGTTCGGTTATCTATAGAAGTAGGCAGTACTGGTATGGGAACCAGGACCCTGTTGATACAGTGGTTCGGACTGAGATCCAGCATGTCTGGCCAGGGGTGAGAGTAATCTGCTGTTTATCCCACGTATCAATATTTAAATAGCAAAAAGAACAAGCTTTGTTTACTTTCACATTTACGTCTCAGTCCGATGGATTCCTGAAGGACAACAACAACGCTGCGCAGAGGCTGCTGGATGGTGTGAACTATATGGCTCAGTCTGTTTCAGAGCTAAGCGTCAAGCCTGCCAAAGCCGTCACTGCCTGGTTAACAGACCAGATTGCCCCTGCTTACTGGAAGCCCAATTCTCTCATCATTGTGAGTTTTAATGCTAGCTAGGCAATTTTAATGTGGCTTTTTTAATGAAGAGAAGTCTTCACTAAAACACTAAAACTTTTTCCAGAGATGTAAAAACTGTGGAGTGGAATTCCAAGATAATGATACGAAGCACCACTGTCGGGCTTGTGGAGATGGTTTCTGTAATGGTTGCTCCTCTAAGACACGGCCAGTCCCTGAGAGAGGTTGGGGCCTGGCGCCTGTGCGAGTCTGTGATGCCTGCTTTCAAAACAGAGGAATCCCAGAAGGTATCCCAGAATATATACAGTTGTGCTCAAAATTATTCATACCCTTGATAAATATGATCAAAGAAGTGCTGTGAAAATAAATCTGCATTGTTTATCCACTTGATCTTTCATTCAAAAAAAAAAAAACTCTATATTTTTCTCTAATACAGTAAGAGGACGTGTGTCTATATACTGTCCTAATGCACGGTGAGGAGGAAAGTTTGAGTGACCAAAGACTCCAAGGATCACAGCTGGAGAACTGCAGAGAATAATTAAGTCTTGGGGTCAGAAAGCCAAAAAAAAAATGTTGTTTGGGAGGGTTTCAAGAAAAAAAACTAGAAAAGAAAATACTCTCATCCAAAAACAAACTCCAGCATATTTATTTGCTAGACACGACTGGAACTTTAAATGGAACTGGGTTCAATGATCAGTTGAAACTAATTAAATTAACACTAATGGATAAAAAATTAAAAACTGACTGTCCATGCTAGAAATCTTATAATGGGCAATGGTTGGATCTTCCAACAGGACAATGATCCACAAACAAACATTAAAATCAAAACAAAAATGGGTCACTGAGAACAAAACCAGGCTTCTGCCCTGACCAACCCAGTTCCCTGAGCTGAACCCTATAGAAAATGAGTGTGGTGAACTGAAGAGGAGAAGCATCAACATGCAGCTGGAAATCTGAAGGGTCTGGAGTGATTCTGGATGAAGGAATGGTCTCTGATCTCCTGTCAGATGTTCAGGCATTATAGGTGAAGACTCAGAGCTGATATCTTGGCAAAAGGAGGTTGCAAAAATTATTGGATAAAAGGGTGATTAATTGTGACCAATGTGTATTAGAGAAAAAAATATATATATATATATATATAGAGAGAGAGAGAGAGAAAGAGAGAGTGAGTGAGAGAGAGAGAGTGGTAGCCAAAATTGTTAGAACACCTGACAGATCTGAAAATATTGACATTTTTTGCCTCAAAAACATGATTTAATTTTATAATGTTCATGAAACATGCAGATGGTTGCTCTGAGCACACCAAATATCAGATGAAGTGAGTCGTACTGTTTTTATCCGCTTTTAACTTTAATATTTGGTATGTCAAGTGTCAACCTTTTGCAGCAATTACAGCAGCACATCTCTCTGGCATAGTGTCAGTAGATTACCTGAGAACTTCAACACTAATGCTATCCTATGCCTTCTGCAACTCAAGCCAAAGGCTTTCCTTTGAATGTACAATAGATCTGGCCAGTTTATTTTCCAACCCGCCCCAAATTTGCTCAATGGGGTTGAAGTCCAGACTTTGAGGGGCCAATCCATAATTTTCAGTGTTCCAGGAGATTCCTTCCTTCGCAGGTAGTTCTGGGCAAAAGTTCGTTTTATGGGTATTGTAATGGCCAGTTCAACAAAAACAACTGAAACCTCTTAAATATGCCAAGTGTTCTAACAGTTTTGGCCACCACTGTATATGTGTGTATAAATACATATATATACACACACACACACACACGTGTATATATGTACATATGTGTGTACACGTGTGTGTGTGTGTGTGTGTATATGTGTGTATAGATAGATATGTATTAGTACATACTGTAATAATTTTAAAACTAATGAAGAATTATGCTAAAAAGTGAGAGGCTTTTACGCAAATCAGAGAGATAATTAATATCTTAAATAACGCCTTGCTAAATACTGTGAAAAAACATGAACAATGCATGATTTACACAAGTTTGAATAATTTTGGTGTCAGACACAGGTGCAACATGTTATGACAAACATGCAGTATTTCAATCCATAATATCATACTATGACTGGTCTCACACAGAACTACTGGATGCAGCGCTGGAAGAGGAGCAAGGTGGGACTCTGATCGCCAGGAAGGTGGGAGAAGCTGTTCAGAGCACATTAGGAGCGGTAGTCACTGCTATAGACATCCCTCTTGGTGAGTTCTTCTCTCCTCTAAGAGCCTATAAAAAAAGTTAACATGAAAGTATGTTACTAACAACATAAATGCACGCTGGAAATACAGTTGAGTATCAATCCATTATGTTAACTAATAATAAACATTTGGCTTGTTCAAGTAACCTCTTCTGTAATCTTTAGAATTAAGCATTTTATTTTCATAACATACTTGCACAGGAATATCTCTGCGTATATAAATTACCAAATGCGTTTACTAGGTCTGGTAAAAGATGCCGCCCGTCCAGCATATTGGGTCCCTGACCAAGACATCCGTTGCTGCCACCAGTGCCAGCGTGAGTTTAATGTCCGTCTCTCTATTCATCACTGCCGTGCATGTGGACAAGGAGTATGTAACGACTGCTCCCCTGATCGCCGGGCCGTGCCCTCCAGAGGTTGGGACCATCCTGTGCGGGTGTGCATCACCTGCAACCAGAAATCTGGAGAGCTCTAGCAGAACCGAACATCACTCCGCATTATAAGACACCCCCGTATGTGGCCACAGCGCTTCAGGACGTGTTGGAAGGGAAAAAAGCACTGCTCTCAAACCAATGAATGATTGTTTGAGAGGAACATCTCTGCTTTTTGTCCCAACACGTCATTCACGTCATGCTCCTCAGCTCTACATAAGCTGTTCACAGTTTAATATATGTAATGGCCTACATATTTTCTTCTTTTAAAGGTTAAATCCAGCAAGAAAATAAATCTGTCAAACCCTCGACAAACCTTTGTCTACCATGCAATACGTTACCTTTGGGCAGGCCCAGATGGAACGTTGGAATGAGCATTTTTGGGAAAATCAGCAGAATGGGTTTAAACATGGTTGAAAAAAAAGTGTTAAACATGATCAAAGATGCAAAATATTAATTAAGTCCCTTCCATTTCCGTGGCTGCAGATCCTTATATGGGCCTTCCTGTGGGTAAAGGCAGCTAACATATGGCCTCTATATGATACATAGACCGGTGCACAAATATTAGTAATATTGTTTACTGTTGTGTTGCTCAATTTTCAGTTTAAGGAAAGATTCATTTGCTTTTACCTGTTTAAAACACAAGGTTGTTCATATTGTTTTGCGTTCCTTTACCCTCCAAGAAACTAGTGTAGATTTTAGATTAATTCCTATTTGTCTCTATTATTTGCTGCCTGTTATGAAAGAGATCTGGCATGATCATGCAAAACTATCAGATGTTGTTCAGCATAATTTAAAGACTTCTTTATCATTTATTTTAAATGCATGTACTCGAGCAGGACGTTTTTTTTTTGACGTTTTTAAAAACGGACCTTTTTAATGAATCACTTCCACTGTTGCCGAATTAAACTGCATAGTGACTCTTAACACAAAGCCATGATGAAACCACACAAATGATGTGGCTCTGCATTATCTGTCAAAAGCGATGCCAATCCACATAAATCTCATGTTATCATATGGTAGTTGCTCTTATTTAGCCCCAGGTATGGGTTCTGATCACTGTCATTTAAATGTCATTTCTTGGCCAAACAAACAACTCATTATGTAGAATCAGGTTATCGTAGGCTCAGTGAGGCATTATGTGTGGATGACCGAACATGACTGACGCAGACATAAGAAACATGAATCTCATTTTATGTTATTTGCACCTTGTATGCCAATTAAATTAAACTTGAGTACCTCTAAGAGTGTGGCTTAAATATAAAAATGTGTAAATGCCTATTTGTACCGAAAGGGACCGTTTTCTTATTGAAAATTCCATGGGGTCCAATGTTTTCATTTTATGGACAAAAACAGTTAAAACATTAAATTCATGTTGGGATTCGAACTAAAGATACAGATAAACAAAGTTTGGATTTATTTTGAATTGAAGAATGGTTTCCCCAATTTTTTTTTTTTTTTTTTTACAAAAAAGTTCCAGCACATTTCAAGTAAAACGTTTCCAGAAAAACAACATAACATGAAATTGTACTTTTAGGAGGTATGTTTCAAATGACTATAATTTAGATCTTATATCTAATAAGCTTTTCCAAAATGTAATCTATTGATGATATAATGGATAAGAAGTATTCTGAATCCATCACAGTCTAATTTGGAATATTACTAAAAAAGGAAAAACTAAAGGCAAACGGTAAAATGGCAACATTTTGGTCAGTAAGACACTTATGTATTTACCACACAGCAGCCTGTGTTTTTAGATGGCAAATGTTAGCACTGACCCTCCAGTGTTAGACCCTCCCGATAGTCTTTGTTGTAAGAGTAGTAGTACAGATCATGATGGACAGCCATAAGGAGTCCAGGAAGTCCTCTACTACCACCCAGCTGGGAGGAAAACACCACATTTGGGATAGAGTCTTTCCCTGCAGGATGAGGTGAGGGGATGGTCCTGAGGAGATGGCGGTCATGGAGGCTCCAGAGTCGGGTGTAGCAGTCCTGACCCACTGCAAACGGCACACAATTAGATGTGTTACAAGTGTTGCGATAGAACTGAACTGATACTATGGTTTAAATTAAAAAAAGATATACCAGCAAGCAGCAATCCTTCTGGCTCATTGACATGAATGGGTAGGTAGGCATATTCATTGTGGTGTCCTTCATACTGTTTGACGGACCGCTTGACACAGATGTCCCACAGCTTTATCTGTTCAGCGACGACATGAAGGGAGAATAAAAATGAATTAATAATTCAATGCTCTAAATTGTTATTAATAGCATGATGGCCTGTGGTCATTTTAGTTGTTTATCATAAACAGACCTTGCCCAGCATGTCAGCAGCGAGGAGGTAGTTCTCATCCTGTAGCAGTTGGACCGAGGTGATGGCTGACTCCTGGAAGAAGCGGCTGGTCTTCCAACCGTGACTGCGACCCGTGTCACGCTGACGCAGGTCAATGCTGAAGATCTCTCCTGAGCGACAGCCGTTGAACAGCACGGGAGCCTAAAATACGAAGCGCATGGCACAAAGTGTCACACAGATATTTTTGCTCACATATGCATAAAGTAAAAAAACGTGAGAAGATTGATCAAATTTACAAAAGCTTATTATTATTAAGAGCGTCAGCAGCACCACATGCATACGTCGTGCTACTCTCGTGAACACGCTTTGAAGACCGACACGGAAGAGAAGAAATTGTTGAATAAAGTCGATATTTTTATTTTCTTTGCACAAAAAAGTATTCACGTAGCTTTGTAAAATTAAGGTTGAACCACTGATGTCACATGGACTATTTTAACGATGTTCTTACTACCTTTCTGGGTCTTGAACGTGTCAGTTGCGTTGCTGTCTAGGCACGTTCAGAGAGCTCTCGGATTTCTTAATTATAATAAAAATCTTTGTGTTCCGAAGATGAACGAAGGTCTTACGGGTTTGGAACGTAATGAGAATTTATGTAATTAATGACAGAACTTTCATTTTTGCGTGAACGATCCCTTTAAAAAATGTTTTTTTTTTGCTTGAACTTCATATTTAAAGTGGTCATGCATTTCAAGGGGGGTGCACTCTTTTTTCGTGTGTTGTCGACTTGGACTTGTCCTCAAATTTAGTGGTATGGATGCAGCATTACACAATTAAATTCTGTAAAACATTTTAATGAGGTAAAAATGACAGAGCACTTTAAATGAGAGTAAAATTGAGAGGGACTGTAAAGTAGGATGCGACAGAAAGAGACAGACATGATGCAGGTTAGACTCAAACCACAAGCATGTGCACTACCACTGAGCCATGGCCACGACTTCAGGGTTGCTTGGGATGAAAAATCATTGTTCTTTTCTCACCCTCAGGGCAAACTGTTGAGCTAGAACATCACTGCCTGCGAGGTATGTCGCTCTGCGTCCAGTCACAGCATCCGTCACAATCACTTGTCGAGAAAGGCCTATATATAAACATAATAGATATATATATAAAAACATAATATATATATAAACTGTAAATTGTAATAATATTTTGCAATATTACTGTTTTTACCATATTATTGGTCAAAGAAATGTAGCTATGGTGAGCATAATTTTCTTTCCAACAGCATATTGCAGAAACACATACAAAAACTCACCAGTGCTGAAGGTTTTATCAGCCTGTGGGTTGAGGCACCATGCACATGACCAAGCTGTGGAGATCTTAAAACTGCACAGCATCCCTGGTTGATCTGATGAAAAAAAGTCATTTCAGTTTAATAAAGGGAAAACAAATAAAAAGAGTTTTCATTAAAAAATGTGGGAGACCCAAAAGGAAAAGATTTGTACCTGGATTGAAGTTGCTGAAAAGAGAAGCAGGTAATAAGCTTACACAGCCTGGGGTCTGAGAAATGCCCACCAAACACAACCTGAAAAGACTTGTCAAGAAACACTTCCTCATCGATTAGAGATGTTTGTGACTATTTCATTTGATTAATTGTCATTAATAGAGTAAATATGCAGGTATGCTCCTATTGTAATGATATAGTTTAAGCACCTTATTCAAACTAAGTGATTATTGGACCTACATTCATATAAGTATTTTAGAATTAACAAAGTGAAATCTGAATGAAGAAAGACTAAATGTATTAAAATTAAGAGGATATTAACTAATGCCAATAATTGCATATCATAAGAATATAGTGTTTAAAGTCCTTCTTCCACCTCCACATCTGTTTTATGGTAATGTTAACAATTTATTGACCATTTATTTTATTGACCACTGTTTGTGAAAATTCCTGAAAACTGACACCCCATTACAGTTTCAAAATAAGCATAATTTTTTTTATAGATTTAGTTTTTAGAATCTAAAATGTTTGAAGCAGGGCCGGACTGGGACGCAATTTCAGACCGGGAAATCTCACACTCATCCAGGGCACACAGAAAAAAAGGGGCCAAAACTACCTTTTGGGGTACAACAGCTTGACACTGTAGGAGTACTCTTAAAAGAACATCTTTGTACCTTTTTTTTTTTAACCCCTAATAGGAATATATTAGTACCTTAGAGTAGTAATTCGTACACTTAAAGGGATACTCCACCCCAAAATGAAAATTTTGTCATTAATCACTTACCCCCATGTCGTTCCAAACCTGTGAAAGCTTTGTTCGTCTTCGGAACACAATTTAAGATATTTTGGATGAAAACCGGGAGGCTTGTGACTGTCCCATTGACTGCCAAGTAAATTACACTGTCAAGGCCCATTAAAGTATGAAAGACATCGTCAGAATAGTCCATCTGCCATCAGTGGTTCAAT